AGCTAAGAGGTAGGGAGAGTTGCTTAGAAGTGTAAACCAGAGGCCAAACATCAATAAAACTGCAACTGGAAAATAGGTCAACATAAAAAATTCAAACTAACGCACAGAAAGAAAACAGCTGAACTTGCTGGAGAAAGTGTGAGAGACGTGAGGGGCCCAGCAGAGACGTGTGCTGTTCGTGTACTTGGAATCCAAGGAGAGAGAAAATGGAGCAGAACAACAAACACTTAGAACTCAGGCCCAAGATCATGAAAGAATCAAGCCATGGATTCAAAAAACTCAGAAAACCCCACCCTGACATGCTGTAGTAAAAAGACTGAAAACCAGAGACAGAATGTATCAGAAGCACAGAAAGAGGCCCTGGAGGGAACAGTTACCTTCAAATAAGCAGCAATCACCCCACACAATGAAGTGGTTGTTTAAGGTGTTTAAAGAAAAAATTCTAATTCTGCTGTTTACAAGAGATACACTTTCAATCTTCCTATGTTAAAAAGTTGGAAAAATACACCAGTGCAAATACCAAAAGCCAGCTGGTGCAGCTTTGGTGATGCCGTCAGCTCCCCGTGTCCACAGGGTCCACATTTATGATTCAGCCAACTGAGGTTCAAAAATATTCAGAAAAAAGTTAATACAATAAAAATTTTAAAATATAGTACAATAACTATTTACACTGGATTAGGTATTATAAATAGTCTAGAGATGATTTCAAGTACAGGGGGATGATATACGTAAGCTATTTGCTAACACTATGCTGTTTCTTTTTTTTTTTTTTTAGAGACAGAGTCTCACTTTGTCAGTAGAGTGCAGTGGCGTCACAGCTCCCAGCAACCTCCAGCTCTTGGGCTTAGGTGATTTTCTTGCCTCAGCCTCCCGAGTAGCTGGGACTACAGGCATCCACCACAACACCCAGCTATTTTGTGGCCAGGGCTGAGTTCGAACCCATCACCCTCGGTATATGGGGCCAGTACCCTACTCACTGAGCCACAGGCACTGCCCTGTGCTGTTTCTTTTAAGGGACCTAAGCATCCACAGATTTTGGTGTCCTGGGAGTTGGAGGCCCAATCTCCTGTGGGTACTGAGGGACAACTGTATTAGACAAAGCAGAATTAAGAGCAAGAAGAATTATTAGAGGTAGAAAATATTTTTTAATGAAAAACAGGTTGTACTGGTTTTCTATCTGCTGCCACAAATTCCCATAAACGTAATGGCTTGAAACAGCACAGATGTGTTATCTTATTTCTGCAGCTTATAAATCCAAAGTGGCTCTCACTGGGCTGCTGTCCACACGGCTGCTTGTCTTTTTGGAGGTTTGAGGGGACAAGCCGTTGCCTTGCTCTTTCCGGCTTCCAGAGGCCA